GGTTAAATTCTAGCATTCTAGTTCTTAAACATACCTAATGTTCTTTTAATTAGAAATTGCAAATTACCAAAAAAAATGATGAAGGAAAAACTAAGAAACAGTAGTGTTATGAAGCATTTCATATAGAAATGCTAGAAACTCATTTATTTGTACCAGTAACTATCTGATAGATATGGTTTGCTGGTATGTGAGGCCTGTTCAGCCTTTAATTGATGAATTCCAATGGCTGGTTCTAGCAATAACCCCCTGGTCAAGATATACTTTTAGTTATAGCAAATACATACTGACCCGTTACTTTTTTAACCTTAGGTACCAAAAATGATGAAGGAAAAACTAAGAAACAGTAGTGTTATGAAGCATTTCATATGGAAATGCTAGAAACTCATTTATTTGTACCAGTAACTATCTGATAGATATGATTTGCTGGTATGTGAGGCCTGTTCAGCCTTTAATTGATGAATTCCAATGGCTGGTTCTGGCAATAACACCCTGGTCAAGGTACACTTTTAGTTATAGCAAATACATACTGACCCATTACTTTTTTAACCTTAGGTACCAAAAATTTGTGCTTAGTTCTAGGGTACTGATGGTTAAGGTTACTTGATATACTTCTAAATATGAAACACTAATCATTCTGAAGCTATTCATTAATTAAAGTTCAGTATTTGTTTGTAGCAATTGACCACCTATTTAGAATGGAACATTCCTGGTCAAGGTACTTTTTTAGTTATAGTATTTGTTTTTTCGCTTTTACTTGTACTTGAAAATGAAAGCTTAATCAGTAAAGTCTTGTGGCTACTATTCAGTAAACGATTAATAAGTCCACAATAGGCCTAAGTTAAAGCAAACATACAGTGGCTGTGTTAGAAAGCCTACATTTTTGGAGAAGTGATTAAAAAAACATTCTAACTCTGAAAGATAAAACTTACCTAATGCTGTTCTAACTGTTTTTTAAGTACCATGTTGTGTTGACTACAATTATTGTGCTTCCAGGGTGATGAAATTCCAGAAGATCTCCCAGAGCCATTCAATCGGTCAAAGCAGAATTTGCAACCGAATGCGTCATCAATTGATACACTCACAGAGAAGCAAACTTTTGCAATGCAAGATGAAGTTATTCTAGAGAAAGTAGAGCCACATCCATCCAATCAAACAAAATCCAATTCAATATTAGCTTCGGAGACTTTATCTGGTGTTGTTAATGACCAGCAACCTGTGGTAGCATCACATGTATCTAGATCATTTAGAAAGCGCTTTTCCCTGAAAACCACAAGCAAAGCACAGGAAGCTTTGCAAAAATGTTCAGATTTTCAAGTATCAGAGATATGTGCCGACAGATCTGCCTCCGGTGGTGGCACTACATTTGTGCCAACTCCATCCCCAACTAAGTTTTTATCTAAACAAACTACCAGTGAGACGCATCCCAAAAATTGCCTCCCTGCAACTCCAGTCAAAGAGTTAAATCCATTGAAAACTGCAGACGAGTCCCCGATGAAAGCTATTAGTATCGATTCCACTCCTGTGAAACTCGCTTCAACTCCTGCCAGGCTGATGACTGCCACACCTACTCTACAGCCACAGAAGAGATGTTACATGAGCCCAGATGAGGTTTCTGTTACTTCATCAAACAAGCTTGTATACCGACCACCGCGTACCAGGTCCTTGAAATTTGACACTCCTCTAAAGGAAGAGAAACTTGTTGGTGAAATGCAAGAAATGGCAGGCAAACCAGTTGATAATGATAAAGATGATCTTTCTATTTTGCCTGAAAGCCTTCGACACTCAGTAAGCCCACTTAGATATCTTTTTGCTATCACCTTTTTTAATCATGAATTTTATGCATGTTTTAGTTTCTATTAGATATAATACTTCCATCTGGAAATGAGCCATCCACCTTTCTTATCCTATCCCAAGGAGAATGGAGGATCATAAACTGGTATTTCCCAACAGTATTACTCTTAAGATTTCCTGGCATCATTTAGCACAAAATTCAATTGGAAGTGAAATCAAATAGTGCATGGGGGTTGTAAGGGTTTGGCCTTGATTTCATGAGTAAAAAGCATTTGGTAACCGTTTATTATCCTTGCAGATAAGGGAGAAAGAGAGGAAAGCATTGGAGGAGCGAGATCCAGCAATCTCACAAGCAAAGAGACGGCAATGAATGATTGCCTGCCTACCTAAGCTCTTCAACATGATTCACTATTTTTTCCAGTCCATAAATCGCTCGGTTATTACAAAAGAGGAGCTTATGCACAAACTAATTGCTGGTCATTGTGATGTTGCAAATAGAGGTAAACCTTTTTGCTAAACAGTTTGCACCTTGGATTATGAAAACATTAGCTGAACTATGTCTTTGATCTTCATTCACAGGAGAAGTTGAAGAGCAATTAAAACTGTTGCAAGAGCTAGTTCCAGAATGGATATATGAAAAAATGGCTTCTGCTGGGGATTTACTTGTTTGGTGAGTCTTAACTAAATTGTTACCCTTATTCGGCATGCTGATGATTGTTGATGATTGTCCACTACAAAATCTAACAAATGTTTGTATTTAAGAAATGCTTCTAATCAATCGAATTATCCATTATTTGCAGCATCAATAAAGTGTCAAGCCCAGAATCAATAAAAACGCGACTTCAAGAGGCAAATAGGTAAAATGAGTGGAGAATCAGTAAAGTGTCAAGCCCAGAATCAATAAAAACGCGACTTCAAGAGGCAAAATAGGTAAAATGAGTGGAGAATCAGTGTTATTTCATTATATTATTCATATTAACAGCAGGAGTTTGAAGTTTCTGCCTAGCTTCAGCTTTTGTACACAATTTAGACGTATATATAACCCATATTTATGTATTTAGATGGTAGGGATGAAAAGATGAAAGCCCCTATTGACCATGCTAACATAAATGCTTTCCTTGACTGCTTTTGATATCTTGTTTTTAGGGTACTTCCCTTTCTCCAGAACCCGAACCCCTGGTCTGTTACCTTTACCACCATCACAATGTGAAAAAAATTGTTGTTGGTCTTGAGTTTTGATATGATAATGTGAACTTTTTTCCTTTCCACAGCAGCAAATATGAACTGATGATAGCAGTGGCTCCACCTAGTAAGCTGAATGGTAAAACAAGAAATAGTGCTTTCTAGAGATAATATAATGCTTTAGTAAGTATGAAACAAACCATGGCTTTATTTTATCTACCGACGTATAGATTTTCACCCAGAATAAAGTATGCAGAGAAATCACAGCCAACAAAGATTCGCGCTTTCTCTTTCAACTACCAAATCTGAAGATAAAAATACCAGAGCATACAGTTCCCTGGCAATGTTCCCAACAAATATATATATATATATATATATGGCAGCAGCCATGAAAATACAGAATATGTAACGGTCCAGAAACGGATACCGAACATCTTAATTGGCCATGCAGCCAGCTGCGCTGTACGTGCACCATAAAGAAAGCAGATTGCGCAGCCCCGATTCAGTTCATCCAGGACGTTAGTTACAGTTGCGCTGGATATTTCTTCAAAGCAACTGCCTACAAAGTTCACCTGCATATACTATTAACAAAATTTATGAAAATTTGTTCTAATTTCATTGAATACTTTTGATGTAAAGAGTTGCTGCAGTATGTATGCATGACCTAATTTTTAAAAATCTATTAAAACTCTGGAAAATAATGCATGATAACTCAACTTTTACTATAGAGTTACACGGTAGGGTTAGTATAATTGAACCAATATGAAATTAAATATTTGTGACTCACAATTCGTTTGTCTCACATAAATTATATATATTTGGAAAATAATGTATTGATCAAGTCACTGTTTAGGGCATGATTACCATCGTGATGAGTCACCGTCAATGATGTTTAAGTCCCAGCAATTTCAACCATTCCACGGCGGCTCCTTATATCGACACCCTCCATCCCGGCGCCAAATGCATGATGTGAAAAAAGAAAGAAAGAAAGAAAGATTTATTCATGGAATAAACAGTCTAATCGAACCTGAGAATGATGGCTATGACGAAGGTCAGAGAAGAAACAATGTTGACCGCAGATGTAACGAATGTTGGGGAAGTGTATCTCAAGCTGGCAAAGTACATGTTCATCGTTACTGCCACTCTTATCTTTCCATTAAAGGAATAATTAGAACCAAATCTGTGTTTGTTGTTTCAAAATTTATGGTGAAAATCAATCCTTTGAAACTCAATATTCCTATTATTAAAAGCATAAGTACTCCCTACCCTATGAGACACAGCAAAAATAACTCCAGTTTCCAGCAACAGCGCAAGTGCCATCTTTATCCTTTATTTTCCGCAGAGAAAAGAAAGGCATCAGTTAGGCAATCCACAACCTTCCTATAAATAACAATAACAACTGTAAAGGAATATTTTTGATCGACCTTTTGACGAAATATGTAAATAGGAGACATGTATCTGTGCTTGAAGGGTGTTCAGGTGTGGCATGTATCTTGGAAATATCACCTTGAATGCCATTGCCATCGAGAATCCATATTTTCTAGGTTACCGGGTTGAAACGGACAATACATTGCCGGATTAGATGTGGGTTTCCGCATCTAGTCCGTGCAGCATCATATTCTTATGATATATAAAATTCTGATGTAGAAAACTAACAGCCGACTGCACAAAGGTGGAATGAAGAATATAGAAAAGAGCATATATGTCCCTTGACACATTCAAGATTTTGTACTACTTTTCAGCCTACCCTTTCAGCGGTCTCCTTCATTTCCCCTTCACGAATATTGTCAAAAATCTTCGAATCTTGTTGTATGAAGAATAAATGACAACTTGTTTAATGTGGCATACACTAACTCATTTCCCATTAGTACTGAATGCCTGAGATTGCGACCCTAAACTCCATTGAAATCTACCGAACAAGAGACAGAGAATCTCAGCATCTGTTCATAGCTATATGATCACTGATATCTCATCTTGCAAAGATAATTTTATGTTGTTTTGGAACAACTTGGAGAAGTAGATCAGCAATAATAAGGTAAATACTAAATACCATTCATTTATAGCAGAAATGGATTGGTTTACAGATATTGTTGAGCTCTCCACCCCACAAAACACTAATTTCTAATACAATTTGCAATCATCAGTGACAAATCAATTTTATTTTTCCTACTGCCAAATTCTAATATATTCTCTGATGTTCCTTCATGGTTCCACTTTTAGTGCTGAAGCTACCTCTTCCTTGTTGGATACCTTCAGCTCCACGGAATGCGAAGATGGTAGATCTTGGCCCTTGGTGTAAGATTCATCTTTCTCTTTGCCCCACAATAGAAGGTATAAGCCAATGATAACAGTGACTCCACCTAGTATGCTGAAACACAAAAGTCAATTAACACTAATGAGCATATGATCCATAGCAGTGCCTTGCTTTGGCATTTCTAATTCTTTCACTTCTTACCTGCCCGTATACAGTTTTTCACCGAACACGAAGTATGCTAGAACCGCAACTACGACTGTTTGAAGAGGATTAAACATGGACACAAAGACTGGCCCTTTCTCCTTCATGCACCACAACTGAATGAAGATGAGGAGCCCCGAGCCGATAATTCCCTGTAATATATATAGCAGGGCTTAGTACTTGATTTCAAAAGAAGAAGAAAAAAACACAGATAAGTAATGGTCATGAAGTTACTAACACAATATGTAATGGCCCAAAAATCAAGTCCCAGCATGTTGATCGACCAAACACCCGGTTTACGCTGTACCAACACCGCAAAAACAGCGGATTGCATTCCTCCGATGAAGCTAATCCATGCTGTGAGTGACAGCTCTGCTGGATATTTCCTCATGGTAAATGACTGCAAAGGATTATTAACATGCTTTTAAAAAAATATACTAACAAAAAAGTTGACAGATAACTATCACAATCATCTTATAGTTTATAGAGAATAAATAGAACCTGTTACCTGCATAATGTACCATGAAGACAATGTTATGCAACTAGCAATGGTGAGGATTGACCCTTTAATCCAGTTTTCGCGAATAGAAAGTCTCTTCATGTGAATTGGAGTGCCCCACATATTTTGCAGTGCTGGTCCTTTGTATAAAGTGATGATGGTAACCCCAACTAACGATATTAAGGTACCGAGGATTTTCGCCATCCCACGATAGCTCCTTACATCGACAACCTCCATCCTGCATCAAGATCATTAATAGAATATTATTCATGAAACCTCCTTTAACTGTTCATAAAACTTTAAGGAATACTTATATATTCCTAGTCTTGAACCTGAACAGGATGGCGATCAAAAAAGTCAAGGACGACACCGTGTTGTACACCGCTGAGACGAATGTCGGAGAAGTGCATCTCATACTTATGAAGAACATAATGAAGGTTAAACATATCCTGTTTTTTGCATCAGAGAGAAAAATTGTGAGTGCTTTTAATGCTATTCATTAGCATTATATACAAGTGAAAAAGTAGCTGTATATTGCCTACCCGAAGAGAGAAACCACAAAAATCTCCAAAAACATTACTAACGTCATCTTTGGCCTGGATTTTCTGCACACAAAAAAAAAGCTGAACAAATTAGGCAGTGAATCTTCCCATGCTAATCAACAAGATTAAGCTAAGAGTTGGTTACTTCATGCTGTGTTAGTGTCGAACCTTTCGATGAAATATGCGACGGGAAACATCAACAAGCCGGCTAGGATAAACCGATAACTGACATAGACAAAAGTGTTTAGGCCTTCATTGAAGGCAGCTTCTGTAATGAAATAGACAATTGCAGACAAAATTTGGACTAGAACCATGCTTAGATGGTGCCTATATTTTGCAAAGTTGGCCATCAATGTGTATGCCATATATCTTTTGCTTATGTAACGATACCTTTCGCCTATTTCTCTTGGCTTATATATAAAGCAGGAAAGGCATCTTGATACTATTGCTGAAAATGATATAAAATTCTATTTCACCATATATAGATATGCTTGGGATACATAATATACATATGCTTGGGTGTTTTATCTTGTAAGCATCATTTTCCTCCACGAAATTTCTGGTGCACGATGCCATAAGCTGTTTTTAATTAATGGCTGCCCCCCAATATTGAATGGGTTCGAAAATTTATGAATTAATCCACGTTAAATAATTGTTAAGAGAATTTTATTGTCATTATGAGTAAGTTACTCAGCTCGACGAAATTTATCTTTGTTTATACCATTAAATGGATAGATAAAGTACCTTCGTCCTTAAAAAATAAGGAATTAATCTCAGTTAGAGCTGGTTAGTTGAGGGAGCATTCTGAGACACCCACTTAGGGTCCATATTTTTTATTGAGCCTCAAATTTTTTCACTCCAATTTTCTCAATCCAATTTTTTACTTTTATAATTGAGGTCTCCAATTTTTTTAATCTCACCTTATACATTTATGATTGAATCCTCTAACTTTCAATCTTACCTTTTACCATTACAATTGAGGTCCTTAATTTTTTCAATATCACTTTTTAGCTTTATAATTGAGGTCTCTAATCCTTTTCAATCCCACTATCTATCTTTATAATTGAGGCCCTTAATTTTTTCAATCTCAATTTCTACCTTTATGATCGAGGCCCTAATTTTTTAAGTTCCATAAAATTCTCAATTTCACATCCATTTCCCCATCTCTATCGCTAATTTATTTAATTTTGAAATAAATATAATCATAATTTTCTCTTTTTTTTCAAATTGCATTCTTGAGCTTATCAAATATTCTTTAACTTGTAGTCTTCTCCAATCTGAATCTAACAATAAAATAATAGATCATTCTTTTTTTTATTATTCTCTTGGTTTTATTTAAGGTGTTTTCTTAACAAAATAATGAAAATATTGTTTAACAAAATATAATCATTTTTACTATTTATTTATATAATATTAAATTAATGGTTGAAAGTAATAAATATACTTTTGTTCTATAAGGACCTATTTTGAGTTTTCGCTCAAGGCTCCGAAAATGTTTGACACGGTTCTGATCTCATCCATCTAGTTTTGCTCATCCAATAGTCCTAGATCTATGTAAAACTAATAAACGACTAAGATTAACTCCTTATTTTTTATGTGAATATCTTCTCTTATTGTTAATATTAGTTATATATTTTCACACATCCAACACTCTTAAATCTATATAAAATTTTAAAAAAAAAGTACCTTATGTAATTGGATCTTATCTCATCTCATGTATATTATTGAAAAATAGTTTTAACTGCTAAATTCTGTTAACCAAATTTCACATCCATAATCTTAAAATAATTATTAATGCACACATCTTAAATTAACAATCAGTTTCACGTGGGATTTTTAATACATGCATCTCTATTTTTAATTATTTTAAACAATTATTTTTAAACGTTAAATTGAGCTAATAAATTTCATATAAAATGAATTTTTATTAGTATAAATTGTTATCTAAAACAATAATAATTTATTTAATTTTTTAAAATGTTACATTAATAACATGTTACAGATAAATTAAATTTTAATTTATTCAAAATTTTCTCTCAACTCGTATTTTTTATATATCATATTATAAAAATAATTATTTCATATACCGTTGATAAAAATTAATTTTACGAACATTATTAAGATGATAAATGTCTTATTGATTTATTTTATAAAATATTTAAAATATTTTTACAAACATTTGCATTATTTTAACGGTACTTATAAAAATATTTTCATTATTGTTGTACCAAATAATTATCTATAATATAATTATATTATATTATTATGAATAAATATATCTATATATATTGCTATGTCGAGCTACTCACAATCTGGCTAGCACTAACAAATGTTCACGTACCCGGCGAGCACTACGGATAACATTTTTAATATATATAATTGCAGATCCAAGAGTAGATACACATATATATTAATAATAAAAAAGTATATAAGATAATAATAAATAAAATTTTAGTGTAAACACAATTAATATAAAGAAATTCAAATTTCATTATATGTGCCCACCCTAAAGTACACATACATTTGCCACCATATATATATATATAGTACACAGATGAATAGAAGAGAGCCGAAGATGACAGTCATTCTCCTTAAAATATTTTAAATTATTATATATATTAGATATTTTTTATTAAAAATCTATTTTTGTTCCTTAAAATTTTATAGATTCGTTACTCTAATTCAAAATTATACCTATGTCCATTATAATATATATATATATATATATATATTATAAACTAACATTTTCATTAAAATTAGTTGGGGGATTTAAAGCGATTTGGCGTGGTAGTTAAAACTCGGTTTTATCATATAACTAACATATACGGCACTGCATCTAAAGTATATTTGGCCAATTATGAAGAGTTATATACATTAAATTGGCAACTGCAAGCTATATCAATGTTAAGCAAAATACATATGATTAACAAAATTAGAGAATTTTATGTATGTTTAGCTCGCTAAAAAGATTATTATTAAGAGAAATATTTCTTTTCGGAATAACCTTTAAAAACATTTCCTCAAAGGAGTATTAAAGTATTACCAATAGTAGATTTTTTAGAGTGTTTTCCCGAAAATATATTTCCTTATATTTCTTAGGTATTTAACAATTCTCGTCAGTTTAGACAAAAATACTCTTAAAATAAAATATTTATTGCAAACATATCATTTTCTTTGTTTTTATGTGAAATTCCTATTTTGACTATTTTTTATTTCTCATTGGACTGGTGATTTAGGTTCCTTTTGAGAGAAAAACTAAAACTCTTTCGATTCTCTCCGGTGTAAGTTAGTCTTTTTATTTACTAAACTATCACTACTTTCTTACATCGGTATAAGTTATTTATTCAACTTACAGAACCTTATTTTGTGGCCATTAGAATTATTTAACGGGTCAATTGAAGTGATTTAGGTTAGGTTTGGTGAACAAAGTTTAATCCATCAATTGACTTTAATTTGGTCGGACTGTTAATGAGAGATAAGCTAAAGTTGCATGATCAATTAGAATTATTTAACGTTATTAGTTTAAGTGATTTTGTTTCGGTTTTTTGAACAAAGTTAAACCCATCAATTTGAGTTAATCTACGTAATGCATTATTCCAGGGATGAAATAAAGTGATAAGACACTAATACAAATAAACGACTATGTACATCTCTTAATATCTTGATATCTAAAAATAAACACATAATTATATTGATGTAAGTATGCTTTAATATTTAAAAAAAATATATATTAAGTTATTTGTGTATAAATTTTATTGAAAATTATATAAATTAGAAATAATAGAAAATTACATTTTCTATAAGAATTCATGTAAATATATTATTTTAACTTCAATATTAAGAATCCAACTTGTTAAAAAGAAAATATATCTCAAGGATAATTTAGTAAAATATACATTTTTCTTATATTATATTTCTTCAACCAAACAATGTACTCTTACATTCTTACCAAACAAAGAAGATAAAATAATACAATATATATTTCCAGTAATGTGTTAACTAATACAACATTCTGGTAATTTTATTCCCAATAGTAATCTTATATTCTGTAAACCAAACGACCTCTTAGGATATTTTTAAAGAAAAAATGGATTTTGTATACATCCATAGTAAATACAAACATAGAATTTATTTCGGGGTGTAAACTTAGGAATTATGTTACAAATATAAAAGATCTAAAATTAAAATATTTTAAAAATACGAAATTAAATAACCATAGAAAATATTTTAACTATGCGAGAGTTTAAAAGTTTTAGAAAATAAAATTACATTTTCAATGTTGCTCGGTTCATCCCGATCATGATGATTAGTATAGTAAAAGGGACACCAGAAGACGTTTAGTGTCATTCATTGTTATAGGTCTTTTGGTACACATGTAACCTAGCAAAGTGAATTGTGAAGTGCCAAGAATAATGCTGATTGTACAGCAAGACCCTTTTTTGTGGGTTTTTGAATGATATTGAAAACTTGGAGCACTACCTACGTAATCATTATGATAATCTTAATAGCGTTAATATTCTTATAATTTCTCCCCACCGCCATCTTCTTCTAATACCCTCTTGGTGCCCTCTCCAACCTCAAATATTGCTTTTCACTGTTCCATCATTTGACTTAATTTGTTTGCCCATTTCTTATTGTTTAAAAGAAAAAGGAAAAGAAATTGAAATCCGGGTCTAAACTCTAAAGGTTTATTCGATATGCAGCTGATTCGAATTCTGCTGTGTTATAGTATCAGCCTGTGGTTCAACACATGATGGACCTAGAAAGAACAGGGAGCAAACGTCCCTCTAGAATTCTCAAATTATAATATATTTTAAATATTTTTATTTACATTTTTTATTGGTAATATGTTTTTGATTTTTTTAAAGTAAAAAGAGAATTGTTTTTACTTAAAAATAATAATAAAATGAAAGTTGAAAAAGAGCAAACTAGATAATTATTAGTATGCTTTTAAAACTTGTATTAGAGTGGTCAATTTTTTTATTATATTTTTATTTCGGTCACTATTGTTTACTATTGATGTGACATTAATAACTGAAATAACATGTTATATGTCATTTTCTTTAATAAAATGCCATCCTCTAATAATAGGAAGATTATACATGTCATCATTTTATTGGTAAAAGAAAATGAATAAATATGAATTACAAGTCGTAGGTCAAATTTAAGTGTCTTGAGAAAAAGGATCTAAAACCTTGGCATTACACCAAATCAAAAAAATTAATATATTGTTAAAAATAATATTTAGATTAAATTATAGTTGAATTAATTATTTTTTATGATAATAAAAGATATAAAATATTATAAAACTATATCTATAACAACTATAATTCCAAATAAAATGTATTAATTTTATAAAACAAACATTTATAATTCATGTTACAAAATCAAAAATAAAAAAAAAACTACATTTAAAGGCCTAAAAAATTAATATGTAAAGGAGGTGAAATAGGTTTCTTAGGCAATACCCTCGTCTTCCTCGTTTGTCGGAAGTAAATTTAATTGAATATTTGGTTGATGGTTCTACTTTCCCCCACTGGAAGCTGTCTCCTTGTCAGCAACCATTATCTGATTACAATGCGAAGATGATTGTTCTTGGTTCTTTGTTGGAAGACTTTTCTCGATCCTTCCCCCATAAGAGCAGGTATAGGGCAATCATAACCAATAATACTGAATCATTTAGGTATACATTTCTCTATACTTCGTTTTAAATGTGTACAGTGTGTTTTATAACTTACCTGCCTGTAACCGTTTGAAGCAAGTTAAACATGGCGACGAACACCGCTCCTTTCCCTTTCATGCACCAAATATGATGCTTGTGCTTACACCGATACTGTTAATCCATGTTGTTAGTGGCACGCAGTGACGGATGCACACCTAAAGGGTTCATCCTAAAATCCGAATTTACTTCTATTTTAGTATCCGGCATTGGTAACTGATTACCTGCAGAATGTACCCCATGTTACGCAACTCGCAAGCGTAAGAATTGGTCCTTTCACCCGGTTCTCATGCACTGAAATCTGAATGTATATATGTTTATATGAACTAAAGCAGACCACAAGTTTGGCACTGCAGGGTTCTTTACGACGACAACCTCCATCACACGAAGATGATTGTTTACGAAAATCTCTTTTGGGGTAAAATAGTGCTCTGCTAACGACGACAATCCTTTGTACAAAGTGATGGTATTTAACCCTGCCAACGACGACCAGAATATGTAGTGCACTGCACATATAGACTATGGAGTCTTGCACTCTACCTGAGTATGATGGCAATTACAAAAGTCCAGGCAGGAATGGTGTTGAAAATAGCAGCAACAAATGTATATATTACAATGTTAAAGAATTTAAATATCACTTATATGTATATTTTTTAATTTAAAACTTTATGTTTAAAACAATCACTTATCTTCTCAAACTTTTGTTCTTCTTCCCCTTTCTGTTTGTTTGTTCATGGATCTATATATAGTAATGTCATTGCAGTAGTAATCAGTCTTGTGTACAACAAAAGGATAATCTTCTGTCTCTAAGATTCTGATGCTGAAATTTAGTCTACGATTTTGAGTAAGGACTCTGACCAAACTGTAAAGTCTTTGTATTAAAACAGTAGAGATTTACTATCATTTTAGGTTATGATTGTTTCCAAATTGACAAACCCTTTTCATTACAGTTTTCAGGGGTGCACTACTTCTACAAGAAAAGTACCAATCCACTTCTTCAACAGCCAACAAAATTTCAGGCATTATCATTTTCCCATTTGTACAGTACAGGAGATAATGAGAAAAAGTGACTTAGAAGGCTATCTTATCCATATTCAAAGCTGAAGGACTGTCATGTACCTTATACGTGTTCAATACGGATATGTTGATTTTTTTAAAAAATATCATGTATTTCGTTTAGCTGAACGTATAAATTTATTATTTTATAAGAATTCTATATATTAATTTTTAAAATTCTAACTTCAGCATGCTGATTATCCATTATCTCCACACATTTAAAGAGGAGACAAGGAATAATTTAGCACCAATTAAGTGTGATAATAAGTTGAAATTATAGATTCTTCTAGCTGTTTGGTCATTTCTTCCACTCCATATTGGAGCAGATAAGTGGGACAGGGAATTATTGGTGGTTTGGTTTCAACCACTGCATTTTGGCTATCTTAAAATAGTTTTATCTTTTGACAATTGAACAAAATTCGTGTGTTTCTTTATAAGACAAAAGGAGATCTGCACCAGAAATTAATGCAATTATGCATCGGATTCAACTTGTTATAGAGTTTTGTGTAATGCAAATTCCTTTTTTATTCTCCATTCTCATCAGATATTTTATAAATTGCAGCAGAATCGGCAGGGCAGTAGTATGAGTAAGCTCCAAGTCATAGATGATAAAGCTCCTTGGAGCCTTTATTATTAGTTGGAAATTTTCAAATTTGTGTTTATTATTATTTTCATAGTAAAATCCCACTCAACATAGTTTAATAATTTCTTTTTCATCTTTATGATTAAAGATTAAGATACTGGTAAACAATATGGTTAAGTAATGTAGAGAGGAATAATAATGATGTTAAATGAAATATTCCGACATCTTAAAAGGAGTTTGAATTCTTCAAATGTCATCACCACGTCGGAATGAAAAGGCATCACCGACTATTCCCTCTTAAAATAATATCGATCAAGATTCTGATATTGGAATTGAGACAAGTTGGATGGTCTCGGCCTCATTCTCAGACAATACAAGTAATCACGTTAGAAGGCGATAATATTCTTTTAACTAGCCACCGTTAGAAGACACGACAAAAATATGAAATGGCACCGAATCCAGTTTCATCTGTGGCTGGTAATAACAACATCAGATACGTGGTTAGTATGGGATCAAACATTGTAAGTCACGTTTGCTCGGCATCTCCATGGTTTTATTAAATGTAATGAGTGGATGTCTATATCTATGGGGTTCTTGACAGAATCCCATTCTTTTGTCTGATCCTGCGAGTCTATAACAGTGATGGTTCGTTCAGGTTCCAAAGTCTCCATTTCTACCCATGGAATCATCCAACATACATTCCATGCTTTAGACTATCAGGTTTTTACGTGTGCTCTGAATATTTCTAATCAAACGTCGGCTAACATGTGTTTAAATGATTTTTTTAAGACGGATTATTATAATCCATTTAATTTAGCACATCTTTCGCACAATTCTGTCAACAAAGTAAGTCGTGTCCGCATGCTAAAGGAGCTGTCTACATTCAACATTATTTAATAAAATTAATTAAGCATGATATCTGTATGGATTTTTGAGCATTAATTAACAAATAATCGAAAATATTTTAAGTAGGTATTATCTTGTAATCGTCTCAGACTAAATTATAAGTTTATTTATTGAATGATTTATTTTATTCAGTAATTTCATAAATGTGTGAGTGATTATGAATGAGTGTTTGAAGTAAGCCATGTCAATTGATGAGCAAAACCATTGCCTGCTGGGCTCAAGTGAAACCCTTGGGTTCCCTAAAGGCTAAAGCTACAAAATGAATGGCCCTTGTAATCTATACCCTTTGTGGGGCAAGTTGAGGAAACCCACTAAAGCGTATGGTTTTCTCACCCACTACTTAAAAGGATGATTTTTAACGTATCAAAGGAATATGCCTCATGTCTGTTTGTGATTTTTTTGCTTCAACTTAAATAAAATCAATAACACTATTGATGCTTGATTAGGGATGATAAAAAATTGTACCCAAAGAGCTTTGATTCGGATTAGATTTACATTAAATTTCTAGGTCCAGTTAATTGGACTGAATTTAAATTTTAAAAAATTATTTCGGTATATTATAAAAATACCATTTTATATGTTTACATATCACTATTATTAGTCGGCTTGTTGGGAGTTCCTCACAAATTTGAGCTTAAAACAAGATTTTATGAGTTAAAAGTTAAAAGTTAAAAGAGGATCATGGGATAAGTTTTTGAGTTTTGATCCAATAATCCAACTTTAAAATAGAACTTTTCACTCACATTTGGTTCGATTTTGATTTAAAATAATTCTATCAAAATCAAAATTTGATTTAACTTTTTATTAAAATTCCTATTTAATCTAATCATATAAATTCGTATTATTATGATTATTCTTAAATCAATCCAATTAGGTCGAATCAGATCATAACCCGTTGAGTTCAAATAAAATATTCATCCCAACTTAAAACCCTAACCAAAGAAGTCTTGTTGACTTATTTCCATGCCCCTGTATCACCTGATCCTAACGTACAGTATCTTCCGCCATGGACCGTCTTTCAAGCTCGTTGAGAGTCCATTACCACCACTTGTACTCTCCGTTTTCTATTTATCTCTACCTCTCTCTGGTGATTGCTAACCAATCCTCCCATCACCTTTGTAAGTATTTTTAGCTCAGCTCTTCTTTTAATCCACCTCCATCAATTAATACGAACTTTAAAAAAAATCACCCTTTTTCAGTTTTTGAATGCGATTCCTGTCTGGGTTTTTAATTTAAAGCTAAATTTTTTAGTAAAATCTCAACTTTTTTGGTTCAATTTTGGTGGCAACAGATTAGTATTCTGAAACTTATAGAGAACTATTGTCAGTAGTGTGATGAGACCTGGATAATATGAAGGAACTAATCTTCGAAAACAGAAATTGTAATATTTGGAATTAGATTAAATTAAGATGAACAAGTAATAGAAATGATTTTGGAAATTCAAAAGAAAAATATTGATGTTGTAGTTTGTAATCAATTTGAAAGTGAATGAGCCTGCGCTGCCGACAAAATCAACGGCATTCTCACTCAAAGAAAGACTTTGTAACTCCTGAAAAGGAAGAACCAAAGAGGCGTTGAGATTAAGGAAACTGCTGTTGTAGAATGTAACTAAATCATGCTAAGCTACTGTGAATGTAAGATTAAGTAAAAGTCGGATGAGATGGCTCCTCCAGTGGTTGGGTTGCAATTAGCCTTTTCCCATTCACAACAATCTGAAACTTTTTCTTCCACTAAGAGTTCATCAGATTGTTGGGGATTGGAAAGGTTGAGTGCAACCTTTAAAAATAGGAAGGATACGGAAATGGTTCGAGAATTATGAGTTAGTTAAATATGTTGCTTCTGTTTTGAAATATTTATTGTGTTTAGGTTTCTCTCAATCCCTCTGCCTTGTAGATGTGCATCCCTTCAATTCCCTTTTCTTGTATACTTGTTAATTTTAAACTTGGAGTTTCTGTTTTGGTACATTTAGCGAGCCTAGGTCATTTACTGGGATTTAAGTTACGGCAGGTGGGACGTTATTTTATAGCTGCAATGGCTTGATGATGCTTCATAAGAAGTCAAAAATGGAACTGGGATCTCACTCCTGAAATTTCAAATTCTCATATAATTTAATTATTTTCTTTGTATTTTCTATTGAAATTTTGCTTTCGTGCCCCTAAATTTTTATAAGTTTGCCCCTCCAACATAAAATCATGCGTACGTCTCTGTATGTGACTCCTCTTGTTTCCAAAGAACTTGCTGAAAGGTACTCTGATTTTTTAATGACCGATATATTGCAGGTAAGCCTGTTTATCTTTGTATCCTTAGGTTTGTTTTTACTTAATGCTTTATGTTTTCTCTTTCATACAATATGACATTGTACCTATTCTAAGTCCAGCATCTCTAGCAAGGTCAAGAATTGAAATTCCTCAAGCAGACTTGTAGGCAACCAAATATTATCTAATTAATGAAAAAGTTTTCCTGCTGATGTTTCATTACGAGTTTTGAAAAAAATGTAAAGAAAGATACTTGGAGGATAAAAGCTTTTCGAGTTTCATAATGTTACAAACCTAATTTAGCATTGATGTCAAGGGAAAATTTTCACAAGAACAGTTCTTGCATTTGCATATTGGCTTCAATTCAAGTTGTAGGTATTTTCTATGATTTGATGGTCATTTTTTTGTCATTTTGATGACGTTGAAGAAAAAAAAACTTTTATTATGAATTGCTTTAGACCTAATTTACTTTTTATTCTTTTCTTGCCTGTTTGAATCCTGGATGGTCAGCCTAATCCTGATTCTCTAAAACTATTGAAGTGCCCACTTGGTTTTAATTTAAATAATCCATCAGGTCTAGATGTTATAGTGATAAACTTCTTTAATCAATAGGGCCAATATCTTTGTTCCTTTCACTCCTGTGGCTAATCATTTTAATTTTTTGTCAAAGTCTAAAACATAGTCCAGTTACCTTGTTAGGTGAAAATAATCTGGTTAAGAAAAAGGAAGCCTTCTATCTTGCTGTTAATGCTTTTATAAAATACATGATATAAGTGATGTCAATATAATTGAAATCTATCATTCTTTTTTTGTAGATTTGACACAGAATATATGTGCAAGCATGCACGCGAGCGAGCACACACACAGAGAGCAAAAATATGCTACAGAATAAGTTGGACACACTCTTACAAGTAAAATATGCTACAGTATTGTGAACAACTGAACATTGTTGCAGTACAATACTTTACATTAGTGTGAACTGTAATCCCAACTTTGAGAAAAAAGGAAGAAACCAACAAAGAAAAGAAAGACTCCGGCGTCAAGCAACATGTACAGAATGTTTTTTTTATAGAAAATGCCCATTGGGCGGGGTATTAGTGGGAATATCTGAAAAGTTTGTTTAGTAATGTTACTTGTTAAAGAGGTGAAGCGTATGGGAAAAATGAAGATGACTAAAATTTGATGTGATTTAAATTTTTAACTATTTGGTGTTAAGAGAATTGGCATGGAGAGCTATGATTCTCTATTTTATGTTCGTTAATATGATTAACATTAGTGTTCGGAGTGAAGAGTTCCTGATGCCAGCAAGGTTTGGGAACTTTCATGTTCTTAAAGCTGTTACACCCATGCTGTAGGAATAATTAATGGGGTAAACTTATCATGTTGTTCTTACAAGTATTTTTTTTCTGTCGTTCAAGAAATCGTTGATTTCATGTGTGCAAGAAGAATGTAACACGGTAGCTAGGGGAGGGGTAAATAACTTGAATTAAGTTACTGATCTTATTTATGAAGTTAAAAGTTTTTATTTGTTATGTGGTATAGAGGTGTCTGTTTTTTTCACATAAAGTATTCTGGTTTTTGGAGCTGGGATCCACATCCGCATTTGATCGTGGCTGATTCGATTGCAAATGCAAAACTGGTTGTTCTTCCGTACTACTGATATTCAAAGTTGGAAAGCAAAAACAATAATCCTGTGGTAAGTATGGCACCTATTGTCCAGCTGGTATAGCACCTATTGTCCAGCTGGTTTAGCACTCAACAATAAACTGGTAATCTTCCTTGGACAACTGCATCAATCTGATTCTGTTCTCTTTGATATCTTTTGTGCAATTTACTTGAATCATATTCACAACTGTCTTTGCTCACATTTTTTAGACGTACGTGTGTCCTTTAACAACTATGTTTTAATGTACATGAACAGATAGTCCCCATCAAAAAGCAATCAGCATTAGCCCCAACAATCAGGAACAAAGGATGCTTCTGTACTTGGAACAGAACCAGAGATTTCAGCTTGCAGTGAAGTTAAAGATTAATTAGCATCGAAATTTCTTAATCTTTTTTTTTAAATGGAATGCAAGTTATCAAAGATTAATGATAGTTGTGTATACATTCCATAAATAATGATCATAAGCTTCCCCACCATTACCTGCCTTAGAGAAAGGTATGGCTGAGCTCCAACTGGTGGTAACTTTTTCCCCTTGGCCTAATCCTAGGGTGGCTTCTACTTCTAGCATCCCAGGTAAAGTAAACCCCCTTATTAGGGGTGAACAATCAACCGAATTGACTCGAATAAATTTTTTTTGAGTTAGTTAAGTTGACAAGTCTTATTTCGTAACTTATTTTATTTGATTTATTTTTTAAAGTCGAGTTTATAAAATCCAAGTCAAATTGTATTGTACGAGTTTATGTTTAAATTTAATTGCAAATACTTATGATGTTATGAACTTATGATACTAATTGATTTTAATTTAAACAATTTTCTATAATCATATATATATATATATAATTGGGAGTTGAAAGATTCGATTCAAACTTAAAAATTGATTCACTAATCATTAAAAATTTTGAGTTATTCAAATCTGATTTTTTAACTTAAATTTGATTTGAAAATTTTTGGTTAAGTTGAGTCAAATTAAATCGATTTCTTAAATGTCGAATTGAATTGAAAAAACTGATTTTTCTATTCGATTCAAGTTTTGCTCATCTTTCTCCATATTCAATATTAAACTCGATATTATTATACGTAACATAAAAATTAATAATGTAAAAGTATGCTATATATAAGTAGCTTTAAATGAGACGGTCAAGTACAAAATTATATTGACGCTATGCTAATGTATAAAAGTTATCCACATAAAGAAGCATTGCTGCAGTAAAGAATAGTTGCTTTAGGAGCAAAGTTTCGTTGATCTACGCTGGCATAAGCACAAATATTCTTTTGGGGGGAAAGTTATAAAATTAATAAGCTGAAAATTAAAATCTATTGACTTGAGTTTTGGAAGGTCTGTTTTGCTGGTAATATTCACAGAAAATAAACGTTCAACTGTATGTCCAACCACGTCCGCGTTGTAGTTTGTCTTTATCCTCCGCTGAATGACTATCGATCTTAAAATTATATCCGTATTCAGCACGTACAAAAATTTTATATTATTAAAATTCTGAATCAGTCACCAACAACCAATTGATATAATGAAATGAGATATTAGATTCTTTAAACAAGTCAGAGTTTGAACTCTAACATTTACGAATTAAGCAAATTGGGTTGGGATAGTCGCCCTCTCCTCTGCAGTATCTGATCTGAATTAATCGATTAATAAATCAGATACCAATTATTAATTAAAAAAATATTCTGAATCCGCCGATACTTATATATGTGACTACTCTCCGCTTCAAAGTAATTAGTACGTTTATCATATTTTATTTACCTCCCACTTTTAATTTTATTATTCTTTTTATTTTCTGATTCAGCACTTACTCATGGGATTATTCGTTTAAGCTCAAAGCCAGGTTTGACTATTAAAATATTTGGATAAAAATATTAGGTATGACAATTAACTTGAATGAAAAAAAATTAAAGCCGCTTAAAATACAAACCGAATTTGAGTTCCAACATTCATGATTTAAGCTTGACCCAATGCTTTTGTGTGTGTTATACATGAAAAGCTGGAGAAAGAACAAAGAAGTGATACTTTATAGGAAAAAGAGGAAGGAACCGTATATTATATGAATATTTTTGGAACATTAAGCAACTGGTTAATTTGTGACTGACTACACTTTTGGACACATTGCCAACCCATTTCACAATCGTCTTCAAAAGCATGTGTGTATTATCTTAACTTCATTAATTACAAACCACATTTGATTTCTGGTCGGAAGAAACTTCCATCTACTTCACAAAGTCGAAGATCCATGGAAACAAAATACACTCTTTTTCAATGAATAATTTAATGTGACTTTTAACTTCGAAGACAAACTTCACTATTAATTGATATACATTTTATCTTTTATTATTCTGAAGTAATTATAGGGTAATATATCTTCGAAAGATTCTCAAGCATTTGGTAATAAATGTTCAAACATTCATGTAAATGTCGTACTCAAATCCGACACCTCTAAAAATAATAACCATCACTTTATCTATTGAGATCCTGCTATTTATATACACATTAAGAAAAAGGTGTAGGGCCAGATTTGCCCATTATTAGAGGTTCCTTTCAATTTGGCTAGCCAAATAAGTAATTAAGTCGTTTGTGTCTTGGACTAAACCTAATTAGCTTCTCCAGGTTGTCTCCACCTATGATTATTGATTAACTTTTGTTTCCATCATTAAACTTTTCAATTACTCCATACTGAAAACAAAGAATGAAGCCTTCTCCAATCCATCACCTTCAACCATCATCTCTATCACTTGATAAGAATTAAAATGACTTCACGGCCCTAACTGTTGAGCTAAACCTAGACTTCATTGGCCCCTATTTTAGGGTTTGGACTTTGAATTCTTGCCCCCCTTTCAAACTACAAGCAAACTTATTTTATAAAACTTCAAGGACTTTTAAAAAATATTTAATAAAAATCAGTAAAAAATAAATTACTTGCAAAAAAAAGAAGCTTTCGGCCTATGTGTTTCTTCAATCATCATGCAACGACATTTTCATTTAATGCAACCTTCTCGGTGTTGAAATCGATGTATGAACGTCCACACTAAGTTACACCTCACATGAATATACACATAATATATATATATATATATATATATATATATATATATATATATGTGTGTGCACGGGTTAAGAATTTAAATGGATGGAATTATATATGTGCACGGTTTTTTGTCTGGATTCTTGGTATTTTAATAAGGGATATCATGGAAAGTGTGTTAGATAGTGTAGGGTATTTTGTAATGGATTCTAATTAAAAAACCCTAAATTTATTGCAATATATAAACTGATATACACGTAAAAATGGCCCCATATGTAACATGGGTGTCGGCTTGACTGGTCATTAAATAGTTACAAACGTTAGCATCATTCCCTAACATGGTCTTTGTCCATCAACCAAAGCTTGTCCATCCTTATTAAGACACTGGTTTTGTAAGTATATTCTTCATTCGTGGAAGACAAAAGATGGGTTGATGTTAATTCAATTTGGACTAAAAAGGGAAAATCGAAGGAGCATAATAATGCATGCATGGATGTTGTCATTTTCCAACAAAATTTCAAAGGAATTAGTGGAATAATGTTTGTTTTATTGTTCGCCTCCCGCATGATCAGAACAGATGGCATATCCACTATAAGCTTAAAATGCTAAAATAGTAGCCTAAGTAACCCTTTAATTCAGCTTGCTGAAAAGATGGGTAAAAACTAGCAACGTTTATGTATAAAATTTAAATTTTATTAATGAAAATATTTAACATAAGGATGATGATGATGATACGCAATATTAATTTCATTTATTAATTTGAGCATCATATTTTATGGTTCTTACTTGTTATTGCGAACGTTTTTTTTTTTTACTTTATTTGATATTTAAAATAAATAAATTAAGGTGGTTGCTTAAGGGATGAGATGATGACCCTTAATTTATCGTTTGTGAGCGGTGGTGGGACCCGAATCGTGTAAAAAATAGTACACACTTCCACTCGTGTGGCGTGTCGATGTCATAATCAACAATAAGAACAGTCACTTCTTCGTTAAATGTGCACGTGCACCGCAATCCCGATGAGTTGTAAATTGTAACGGCTTACCTCTTTCCTTTTATTTATATACTTATTTTTAAAAATATTATTAAAATATCTTTTAACATTTAATTAAATAATCTTTTTGAACTCTATTTATTTTAATTTTCAATGTTTCATTTTAGATAAAAAGATATATCTATGAATTAAAATTATTAGTCAACAAATGAATAATATTTTAAAATAAATATTTTTTTACCATAAAATAAAACATTCAGTCCTAAAATACTCTAAAAAAATAAGTGAAAAAATATTTATTTAAACAAATGTTAAAAAATCTTTTACTTTAAAGTATAATGTTGAAGGATCAAAATATTTCAAAAAAGATAGAGATGACCCAAGCATTAGGTTCGACGATAAAAATGACTGGAGCAGCGAGAACTAACTCCTAATTATCTTGAGTAATAATGTTGACGGTTGGATTGTCAAAAAGAGCTGGCAAGCACCATTAACACTAAAAGATATTGAACATTAAATATATTTAATCTCACATCTTAATCGTGAGATTAATTAAGTAACATCGATGATAAATAAATTGTTATTATTTATTGAATTTTTTGTGCTCAAACATCATAAATGTCAATGATATAAGAGTCTAATATTAAATTATTGAAATTTATCCTAAAACATATATTTCCATATACTTTAACCCATGTCAATAAGAAGTGAAAATAATTAATTATCAAACATGCCCTTGAAAAAAAATATTTGATTCATGAGGACTTTGGAAATGAGGGTTTTGCCCTTGAAACTTTAACTATTTACAAATTGATAATTAATTATCAAACATGCCCTGCATAAAACTATTTGATTCATGTTATGACAAATGCTCGATTGCTTTGATAATTGTATTCCAAATTGCATCATCTCCAAGGTTCTTTCGCCGAACTCTTGAATGTAATATATATATAACAATCTTGAATTTAATATCTTATGCTTGTAGTATGGTGTCGAGTCGAATAAAGGTGTTATATTTAATGTTATTAAAGTTATAAATTTAATAGGTTTAAACAAAACTTAAATTTAAATATGATTTGAATCAATTATAAATGTCATGTTACATAATCAGACAGACCAATGATAATGGTCGAATAAAAAATTTAAATTAAAAAAGAGAGAGTTAGTTACTGTTTAGAGTTGCTAGTTTCAAGATATAAGTTGGAGGCGTCCTACATTATTGTCTAAAGGTAATTAATATTTTAATGATCCCCATAACATTCATAAAAAAAGACCATGCCTTATTGTCCTCATAAGAAAAGTGATCTTAATTCATGGGTTAAGTGGCCAACAAGTACGCATGAATTGAAAGCCATTTTCTTTTTTCCCATTGAATTTAGCTGCTCCATCGATTCAATGTACTAAACCCAAGTCCTACACGACCGCCTATGCTCTCCATTTCTGCACA